CCTGTAAAATCAGCTGTCTCCTGAGTTGGTGTGAAAAGTGCAGCCTCTGAATCTGAAGAGTGCTTTCATTCAGATCCAAATTATGTGGAGGTAACTGCACTAGAACAAGAAAGGTTTGCTTTACAAATCCCGAAAGACAGTTTGAAACACCTGATCCTTGCTGAAAGTGAAGAGTTCAAACATTTCAGTTTAGGTCACAGCTCTAATATCTGCTGAAAATCAAGAACTGAAATTATGGAACAGCCTGCAAGAGCATCAAAACTGAAGTCTGCTGCAGCTCCATGACCACAGTATACAGTGATCCTCCAAGAGTCTGCAGCAGTTCTTAAACTAACTGCTGGAAATATCTACACAGCCTGTGGCACCAACACTGAAGCCCACTGCCTGCAGAAACACCACACATTCTCCAAACTGGTCCAACTCTTCACCCTGAGCTGAGTGACACCACAGTGAAAGAACCACAGGGTGCTATACAGACTAAACACGAGCAGTGAATTTTACAGGATGTTTCTGAGAACTTTGAATTCAGTCAGACATTGGGCAATGAGGCAGAACAGATAACAGCCCTAGAGGAAAAGCATGCTGCCTTAATCTTGGAGATAGAGCAGTGGAAAAGGACTGCGTAATACTCAAAGAGATGAGGCAGAAAAAGCAAGGGTATTTCTTCAAGTAGAAATTTATAAGAAAGGGGAAGTTGCACACAAATGTTTCCCAAAAATTGGATGAACTAAAAACAGGTCTCAGCATTTAAAGAGAAAAGAAAAATAATACTGAGAACTTCTTAGCGCTAAGAGGAAACTACCAAACTCCAGGCAGAGCTGGCCCAATTTTATGGAAAAATTCTAGTTTATCCTCATGTGTAGAGTTAGGCGGTTAGAACTTCACTGTATGATTTTGTAAAACCTTTGTATGCTCAGATGAAGTATGTGTATGTGTCAGCGTGACTTTGTGAAAACTGCTCAGCTTTGCTTAACGATGTTTGACTATGTTATCTGCTAACTGTTTTGCTCAGAAGGATGAAACTCCAGTGCCAGGAGCTTCCCATGAAAAGATAGTGGGAGTTGTCCTCTGTCCAGCCACAGCCCATGGGACAGAAACCTGTTGTAACTAAAAGACAATCAGAGTTGTGTGCGGGGGGTAGAGACATCCCAAGGGTAGAGCTGGCATGACTGTGAACTATGAAGTTTGATGTGTGTTGGCTCTCCTGCGTACAGTAATAAATAGCTTGATCACAGCTCTTTCCATGTTGCAGACTTTAGTTACAAAATTCTACGACACCCAACACCAAAGAAACCTTCAAGAACAAAGATCCCTGTGGGAGAAGGACAGGCTCATAGCTGTGCACTGATCAGGACGAGGGCGGCATTTGTAGGAACCTTGAAGCAGAAAGTGAGTGACTGACTCATGATTTGATGAACAGAGTAATGAAATCTCAGTAATCAAAAAAATAATCAGGAAAAAAATTCTGCTGGATTTTTAAAAGGGCATAAATGATTGCCTTAACTTGACCTCCGCCTCAACAATGAAACTTGTTTATGTTAAGTCAAATTGTAGAGCACTGCTTTCACATTAATTTATCATAAAATCTTAAAACAACTCATAAAAGTAAACATTGCTATATCAATAAACCAACTGTTATCATGCAGATGCATTGTTAAGATATGGTTGATAAGCTGAATGAGTAAAATAACTTGCAGCAGCTGGTTCTTTGAGCTGCATGACTGCTGGTTGTCCACAGGGTGGCACAATCTCCTAACCTAAACACAAATGTTACTCATACAGGAAAGCTTTAGTACAGCGCCTCAAGCCCACCTTTAAATATCATTGCCTATTGGAACAATGCAAACATGGAGAAGGACTGAAAAAATTGGAATTGGTGGAATGCTACTATGCCAGCTGACACACAAAAAAAGGTTATGTGCAGCACATGTGGGATCAGTAGAAAACCAACATCCACAATGAGCTAGAAGGACCTGGCAGCTCAGTGCAATAACATCAGCAGAAGATGGTTACTGTTGAAGCTGGAGATCCAGAGGTTACAGCACACTGGGAACAATGGTGAGCAGTATGGACATAATGATGGAAGAGACCAGAGGTGGCTGACAGGACCAAAGGTGCCCTCTAGACTATTGGACTGCGTACACCAGGGATGGGCAACTCCAGGTCTCAAGGGCCGGTGTCCTGCAGATTTTAGATGTGTCCTTGATCCAACACAGCTGATTTAAATGGCTAAATGACCTCCTCAACATGTCTTGAAGTTCTCCAGAGGCCTGGTAATGAACTAATCATTTGATTCAGGTGTGTTGATGCAGGGTGAGATCTAAAACCTGCAGGACACTGACCCTTGAGGCCTGAAGTTGTCCACCTCTGGCGTACACAGACAGGCACAAACGAATGACTGGGATAGAACATCTGGGCTGCATATGTACCGTTAGGAGACACCACCATTGGTGATCGAGAAGAACTGGGCTAAGGTACTGTAGGACCCTCTAGGAGTTTGAAGGTTCTGCACAGCATCTGAGGTATATGTAAGACTGCACTCTTCTGAATACCTCTGATATGGTGCCTGAAATCTGCTGGAGCTGCCCTCCCAGTTTTGGGGTTACAACTCCTAATGCTCCGATTACCGCTGGGACCACTTTGTACTTTACCTTCCTTCTACTCCAGATGTTCCTTCAGCCCCTGGTACAACATTGTTGTCAAGCTTGTGCTGGATAGTGTATTGACGACATTAACGACTTTGGAAAAGTAGTGTCAGCGTTTGAATCTAAGTCAGACATACATCAGCTGCTACCCAAGGAACCGTTCATTAATTTAAAAAAATATAATGATAGGTCTATCTTTCTTAAAAATGGCGAGAACAGTAGCCACAATGATCAATAATCATTAGAAATATATGTATCTTTGGCAAATCCAAGAAACCTATAGATGCTTGTCATGGTTCTTTGGACATCCTCTGTCAGCACGTTTCAGTCTCGATGTCTTGCAACTCAGTCCTTCCTGGTAAAAGGGCTAAAGTTGCACTCTGCAAAGCTCTGCTGTCTAGATCCTTATTACCTTAAATATAAAAGAAATCAATATACTGCAGCTTTAGATGCAAAAATTAGATTCAGTTCAATTCAGTTCAGATAAGAAATAAGTGGCTCTGATATTACACCTTAGAATGAACCCAATTTAGCATTGTATGTCTTTAAGGGTGTCCTATTATGCTTATTTCTGACTGCTCTGCTAAAGTAACTCTGCTTGATTAACAGATCTTATTTTAGAGCACGATGCAAGTTAAAACTAGCCTTTTGCCTCCTTCCTTTAAGCCAGTGGATCTCTAATTTTGGTGTGTGGAGAAACTTACAGGTGGAACATGAACACAGGTCCATGAGATGAAGCTAAGATGAATGAATATGACTTTTATTTTCAAGAAATTATTTTTTCTCAGACTCAGACAAAAGTCTGAGAACCACAAGAGAAAAAGAAAAATATGTCTAGTGCTTAGAGCAGCCTGGGATCTGGCTCTGGGATTACTTATTCATCAGTCCTCTGGAACTCATTGCACTCTGTAAAGTCCCCCTAGCCATATTTTTGTCATCCCATATCAGTGTGTGTCAGGCTTGAAAAACACTCAGTCAATGAACTATCCAACATTAACATTATCTTTGTCCCTTGAATTTTAGTAAAGTTGTCCATTCCTGATACTTGCACCGAAAATGTGACTGTAGAAATAAAAACATTTGCTGTATTATTGTTCACAGACACACAGCAAAGGCAGAGATGAGATCATTTCCACATAAAGAGTGGGAAAATGTATGCTTACAGGACTCTCAACAACATCCTTATTTAAGACTCTTATCTTGATTTGAACACATCAAATGCTGAAACTAAAACATTAATGAGCTCCCCAGAGCTGCTACAACTGATACAGTTTTATCTCTCTTATCGTCTTTCTTTCACTCACACATATCTCTGAGGTCATGCCTTTCCCTAAGCCTCCCATCAGAACCAAATCAGAACCACACAGGTAAATATTTATCAGATCTTCTATTAAATATTGTTTATAACCCCTAACCTGTCCATCACAAACAGAAGGTTTCAATAGCAGGTGGGTTGGGCTTCTGAGTTCAGAGCTGGTGCTGGATCCCTGGGATCGTCATGTTAGTGATAACTGCTCTCTCTAACATGATACAAAGCGTAAGCTAGAAAAAAATGAGCATTAAAAGACTGAAGCCTGAAGTTTTTCCTCATGAGGATTACTTATACACATGTTCCCCTCAAACCACCACTGCTGAAAAAAATGAAAAAGTACTCACAGTTAAAACGAAATTGAAATGTTCTGGGTTTTAGCTGGCAGGAGTGGCACCTGGTGTCGTCTTCTGCTGTTGTAGCCCGTCTGCTTCAAGGTTCAACGTGTTGTGCGTTCAGAGATGCTCTTCTACATGATTCGATTGTAATGAGTGGTTATGATGGTCATGTTGTTGTATTAGCTCGCCTGATATTTTCCTTCTTTTGAATGTTTCTCTGTAAACCCTAGAGATGGTTGCGTGGGAAAATCCCAGTAGAACACCAGTTCTGGAAAACTCAGACCTGGCACCAACATCTCGGTTTGAACTTCAGCGAGTCTTCTCAACAAGGCACTGAGTTTACTGCCATGTGATTGGCTGATTGGATATTTGTAAAAAGGAGCACGTGTATCAGGTCAGTGTATATATGACATGAAGGGAAACATTGTTTCAATCAAGGCTGTTGAGGAGAAGTTTTAGGTAGAACACTTTCATTTAATATGAAGGATTTTATTTATAGGCAAAAATTAAGTCCCTGTTGTCCCCCTTTCACAGTGCAAGGACATTTCCTGAATCAGGATTATAAATGTGATGGTTTAGCACTAGTATGGCGCTCTCCAGTAGGAGGAATGTAGGTAAACTACATTTCCCAGGATGCACTGGTTGGAAACGTCGAGCTGACACGGCCGAGAGAGAGGGGGAGAGAGAAACTGGTCCAGCATCTCCGGAGCGGCGGAGCGGAGCGGATACAGAGACGCGCAGTCCTCATCAGCAAAATGAGGAGGAATTAACGCGCCGACTGTCTCCCGTGTGTTTCCCACCGCGATGCACGCCGTGGATGTTTAAAGCCTCCTCGCCTGCTGTAGACCAGCGCGGACATCTGACTTTATCCCATCAATGAGATATGTAGAGTGGCTCTACCGCTCGGTGGTAACGCAGAAAAACACAAGATGAAGAAGCAGTTCAACCGAATGAGACAGCTCGCCAACCAAACAGTGGGCAGGTAAGCGTGAAACGGCGCGTTAGATTGGCCACACCGAGCTGCATGCGTCCCGCTTTAATTGGCTCTGGGTCAAGCGGCCAAAGCAGGAATTCGTCGGTTGTGTGTGTGTATGTGTGTACAGTATTCAGTCATTCACGCGTCGGGCTTTTGCTGCTCAGCTGGTTTGATTTGCACAAAGCATTAACTGTCAGTGTAGGTCACAGTTGCAGCTTGAACGGGGTGTGATTGATTGAGCTCAGCAGGAAGGAGCGTACCCGCACGCAGACGAGCGGGGAACTGACATGGTACCCAAGAAGCTGGGCTACTGCCCACTGACCAATGAAATCAAAGCAGAGGGCAGCTTCAAGGCATCCTGCTGCTGGAGGGGAGTCAACATACAGCCTCTATGAAGATGCTCAAGGCGCCTTTTAATCAAATTAGTGTGGCATAGCGGGTGATCTGTGGGATGTAAACTGGTGAAATATGTTTTTTTTTTTATGTTTGACGAGGCATTCAAAGACCAATCTTAAAACCCTGATGTAACCGGGTCCAAGTCCCTGCTTAGGGCGTAGTAATATTATATAAAAGTGCAGGAAGTTTTGGGGTGGGGTTTGCAGTGATGTTAATCGTTTGAGTATTTTATCCCAACATTTTACAGTTATATTTTTAAAACTGCAGCTGTGTCTATTGAGCTTCAAAAGAAGTTCTAGGATAGATGGGCTGAGTAGGAAGAATTCGAGATGGGAATTCCCAGTGAGTCATTCGGACTACACAATATTATCACAATGGCAACCAGTGCTGCCTCACATAATCTCACCAAGTTGCTCTACCTACCCACACAGCCCATTTGCCCCAGTGGTGCGATAGCTGGACCAACAGATGATTTGATCAGATGTTTATCTCTGGTGCCTGGATTGGTCTTTATTGGTCAGACAAGGCAAGAATTCACCTTACATTTTCTTCAGTCTTGCATTATGTTGTTTTGTCTTGCAGTATCCTGAAATCGAGTTCATCATCTGTGTTTTCACGAGTTAAGAAAGATTTGGCATCTTGAAATGTTCCTGAATACAATATAATGGTTCCAAAACAGCTGATAAAACAAAAACAGGTCATTTAGCTTACCATAAAGATTGGAAACAGAACCCGAGGGTTTGTAGTCAATGTGGGACTGTTTTACGTAGTTTGGTCTAATGAAACATATCGATGCTAAAAAAAAAATAAAAATAAAAAAGAGGACCAAATATTGAGCCCTGAGGAACTCCAATACTAATACAACTCAGTAACTAAGTTAATACATGATTATAGAACCTTTTGTATATGTTACTTTACAAGTGTCTGTAACAGGTGTGTAAAATACAGTATTTTCACTAACTGTATTGGAATTTTTTTTGGCTAATTATTGCTTTTAAATGGCATATTTCAGTTAAGAACGGGAGAAATCATTAGAAATTGGGAAAATTTCTTGCTGTTTCGTCTTTGATTAATATCTCAAACAACATTTGAGTCTTTCAGAGTTCAAGTGTTTGCTCCATTTCTATTTTTTGTCCTTGTTGAGGTGGGGCAGGTTGGCCTTTTTGTGCAAAAGCTTATAACTTGTAACTCCACCTTTTTCACCTATATATCCAATTCATGGTGAAATCCCAGAGTAGGTCCCTATTGTCTAAATTACTTTTCAGTGTTTTGGTGTCAAGCTTCAGGAAGAGCTTTTTTTTTTTTTTAATCCTGGAAGTGCCTCACCATTCAAACCCAGTGGAAGAATGCAGAAGTGATTAATCCATAGTAAATCCTGACTGCACAAATTTGCATCAGATAGTACGCAAATGTGAAAATACTTAGGATTAATGTGTTTAGGTTTATGTGATTTATTTGTTATCAGTGCATCTGTTTTCTTCCTGCCAGGCCTGATGCTGCAGATAACTCTGGAGTTTGTTAAGCTCTCAGTCAAGATTGAGTCTTGTTGAAAGTATATAGCTCATTTTAGCTTTCATTGTTTGAAAACATGCTCAATATGCTTCCTCAATCAAGTGTAAAGTGCTATTTGATCCATGTAGGAGGACACGGGTGTCGTAGCCTCTTTAAGCCTTTGGGCCAAGCCTAGAGAGGAAGGAATCATATTTAAATTCCAGTTAAGATAGGTGTAGCTAAAGCTTTTCTGTAAATAGGTGTTGTGAAGACTTTGTCTCTGCTTCTGTTTTCCCACCACACCCATAGCTGAACTGAAAATAAATGTCATATGTCAATACTGCACCCTTGGCAGTTTGTCTTGTGTTCTGACGTGTTGTTTAACCCATTAAAATTATTACATAACCTTACAACAGAAAGACTGTCGTATATGCAAACAGGACCTGTCTAATAAGGACATGGAGTGATTTGTAGCCTGTTGTTAACTGCAGCTCCACCAGGTTTATTATAAAGCATTATGGTATGCACTGCTGAGGTGATGTAAGTACTGTAAAACCTGTTTGTTTTGCTTGGCTGACAGCACTAACTGACAGTGCTGGCATGCAGACAAGGTTTCATGGCATGCAAAACTTTTACTGTAGATTAGTACTTCAGATTATACAGTAATACATTTGTCTCATCATCCTAAATTTCTTCTCTAGCAGTGCAGAGTACCAAAATATACAGTCCCCCAGCAGATGAGTTTTTCCCCACAGAAACCAGATCTGAATATTACAGGGTTACGTGAAGAGACCTTCTAAAACCAAGTCCAAAATTAACCAAAGCCAAAACAGGTCCAAACCAGCCACCAATGATGACTGAGATTAACCTCAAAGTCAGTCTTCAACCCAGCTCCTTATTCAGTCCAAAACCAGTAGAGCCTGAAAGTTGTCTAAAACCAGAATCCCCAGCTTAGCATCATGCAGTGAGTCTGAGGTTCCCTAAAGTGACAGAAGACACCAGAGATCTGAAATCTGCCCCAAACCACCTGATCATAAATGATTTCATGAAGAAAAACTTAAATCCCTATAAACTTACAAAAAGTTCCCCTAGATTCTGGGACCAAGTGCTACGTGCCTTGAAAAACTGCACTAAGCTGCAGCCGGTTTAAGGCAAATTGTTATGAGCATCCTCAATTTACTTTTGGAGGCTAAAACGTTTTTATGCAGCATCTTACTCGGCTACACGCAGAGTGCAGGCAGAGGCGCTGATACAAATCAATGAAAAAGGTATTACTGCAGCTAATGCCAAGCAAAGTGAGCTTGGTAGAGGTATCAGAAATCCCCGGAGAACATTTTCCCATTACGAAAAAATTACGGGAATTATGCCCTACTTGGGCCTGAGGGGACAAAAGCTTTAATGCACTTCACCAAATAAAACCAAACAATTATTGGTAAGTATTACAGACACAAAAAGGCCTGTGTGGTAGGTTAGTTGCTTGTTTATTTCCCCTTCTTCTTCTTCTCTAGAGCCCAGTGAGGCGGAACATCCTGGTAATGAGTTCTAACCTGTATCATAAGAAGCAGAACAGCAGGGGCAATTAGTCATATTTAGAGGGTAGAGACTCAACACGCTGCCTGACGGCTGGCCACACAGGTAATTGCTGAGATCTTCTCCTTGACCTTGGCAGCCTGCATCACCCGGTTTGTGTTGACGGCTGCAGACATCAGCTGCTGCTGACCTCAGTGACCATAAACTACACGGACAATTTGTCCGCTTCATAATTATCATTTCACAATTAGTGCTTCTAAAATCCCCTAAACGTGCACTAATGTTGACAAGTCATTTTTTTACATTCTTCAGCTGTGAAATTGCAGATTTGAGGCCAGCTTTTTTCACATGCTGCTTGAGGGTCTAAATAACATCTTGTTAGCATTCATAACCAGGTATGAGCTTCCGAAACTAACTAAGAGAAAGTAAAAAGACAGTTAGGAAGGGAAAGTATGACCAATACTGCTTTCCAGATCCTTTAATATTCAGTTTAACTCCATTTGAAACAATTCAGTATTCAACAATCAATATACAACAGCAGTTACGCTGGTTTTAGAAGTTCTAGGGACCAGCTGGGGGTGAGTACAAACTGCAGAGGTAATAAATAATTCAAAGCTTTGTTTTCTGTTTGCATTGGCATTGCTGATAATACTGCGTTCCAATGGAGCTGGGAGTGATGTCACTCCCAAGGTCAGTGCACTCCAGTAGTAAAGTTGCATTTTTTTTTTTTGCTAATTAGTAAGGTAGAGCCATCAATGCATCGCCAGAAATACAGAGCAGTGCTTGTTTTTTTTGCAGCACGTTCATGGATAGAGCCTGGTCAGTGCGCTGCTTACGGCTTATTTAGTTTCTCAGTTTTATCTGCCGCCACATGGGATTGTTAAATCAGGGTTAGTTGGGCAGCTCCAACTTTGGAAATTCCAATTCCGACTTCAAATGGAATGCTGCATAAGAAATCTGAAGCGCAATCATAGCCAGCGAGAGGTTGGTAATTCATTTCATTGGTTGTATTTATCTGTTTGTTTGTTTTTTGTCTGTTGATGAAGATTACGCTGCTCAGTTCTGGTCAACTGTCACATATCTATTTATTTATCTACATTTATCATGTCGCTCCTGCTTGTTTTTTGTTTAGCTTTCTTGTTTAAATGCTAAAAAAATCTGGACATTTCTAATCCCATTTTGACAAATATTACACTGAAATGATGTAGAAATTGGGAGACATTTTCTTGACATGAAAATATCACAGGCTGATTTGGATTCAGATGTCTTTGTGGATGCATGGAGGGACTTTTCATCCTTGGTGGAGTAATGCAGTCAGCGCTATAATTCTCTCTTCGTTGTGAATGTTTAGCAAGTTGAGGAGAATAGCTAGCAAAGATTTTTGCATTGTGTTGTGTATTTACTCTGCTGCATAGAGGCTCAATAACGTAACGTAAAGAGCTCTTGCTTAATCTTACACTAATATTTTTTGAAGGTGGCTTTTTGCTTGTGCTGCGTCACGTGTGTTTGAACAATCACAGTTTACCCGCGTCACTCCAAGACGCTATTATGACCTACTCAATAGCAGGAGCTGCTTAACACCCCGAATA